CGCCTCCTGCGCTCGCCCGCTGGGCTCTGCTCTAGGAAGGAGGCACTGGCAAACCACTTCCAAAACACCTCGCCTTGATAACTGCCAGGACTCGTCCAAAAGCAGTCACTGCAGAGTCGGTAACGACTGAGCGCAGATAAAAACAAAAAACAAAAAAACTGCTATTTATGTGATTCAGGCAGAGTGTACAGGCATAAAGAGCAGTAGCAGTTGAAAGTTAAATCCCCTATTAATATTTGCAACCCTGTTAAAAACCATCTAAATTGATAGCTGTAACCACATCTGACAGTACAATTCCACAGTAAAGCAATACTTCCTTTCATTGATCTTGTATCTCTATCAGGCTGTATTATTGTGACTGAAATATGTTTTCCTTTACTGCTTCCTCTCTAAACTAAGAACCTCCAAAGTTCATAATGTTTCCTCGTGTGGGGTATTTTTATTGGTTTTCTCTGCATCTTTTCCAGTGTACACTATCATTTTGAGACAGAGTGACAATACTGCGGTATCACATCATGGATTTATACAGCAGCATAATTTCTATTTTCAGCTACTTAATGATTTCTGGCATGGCCTAGGATTGAGTCTCCCATAGTATCTGCCTGTCCGGTTCGATCTGGCAGGTTGTCACGCTCCGGGTTCCATCAATTAATGCCATCTGTCTGGACCCCAGAAACACGCCTTCTCAGTAGCAGCGCCTGCCCTCTGGAATGAGGTGCCCCCTGAAATTCAAATGGCTCCCACCCTACTGGTATTTCAAAGTTCTTTGTTTTTAAATGTTTTTTGTAAACTGCCTAGAGTTGCTGGGATTTGGGCGGCATATACATTTTAATAATAATAATAATTAATATTGTTATAAGTATTTATACTACAGAATCCACCTTTTTAAAGGGCAACTAAGCACTAAACTAATGTTTTCACTGAGCTATCTACCATGACTGCAAGATCACCCTGTTAATGAACAGGTGAAGAGAGGGGTTACTGTGCCAATATGTATCTCTTTGCCTTTCAGTGGGTTCACACCTGTTCCTTAATTCTGTGATATAACTGGTGTCTTGTCTGTCCTGTGTACTGCTGTTGATTCTGTACAGATATTAGTTGTTTCTTGATGGGGTCTATAGTTTTTCGGCTTACATAAGATTCTTTGTAGTGCTTTTGTGGGCCACAGTAATACCCGCTGGCTGGAGTAATCTGCTGGTGTGTTATGCAGGGAATACATAACCGCAACAAAGAACCAAGAGCAGAACCGCCTAACAGCCCCAGAATGAACCCTACGTTTGACTAGGAAAAACAAAAAACATGCAAACGGCAGAAGAGCCTGAGAATTCCTGGAACGCTGGCACTCATATAAAGAAGCCATCACTAGATCAATGAAACTAGATACAATTCCCGATTCACTCAGGCACTGGATTCAAACCACGCACAGCAGACTGAAAAGGCAGATCAATCAGAATAGAGCTACTGCCATTCCCAACCACCAATCAATGGATACTTCCCAAGAAGCACCAACCCCACCGAATTTAAATTCCACACAGGATATAAATACTGCAAGATAACCCCCATCTCTGGAGCACTGCACTGAGGAAGCCTCACTAGAACACGGGGTGAAAGATTTGCAGAAAATATGATCTGTACCTTGGTGCTGATCTCCCTGAGCCCAGAGAGCAACGAAGAACAGATACGTACAATGAACCTGGGCTACCGATATCCTAGGAGATCCTTGAGCATCACGTATCACCTCTCCCCAACAGCCTGCAGCTGTTTATTCCCAAATGTACACAGCTGGCATGCAACAACTATTTCCCAGAATAATTTTGTCCTAAATCATCATGAATGACATGGGAAACTCTTTAAAGTAGTGAAGCGTCACCTATGTTTGAAGATCGAAGAAACAACAGGCACAAATAAAGCAATGAAGACCAGAGTATGTTAAGTGGTTCTGAAGTCTGGAAACTACAGAAATCATTGACCCTGAACAAGTTTCTCAAACTTTTTTTTTTACAGAAACTGAATACAGTTAATTCAAATGTATAGCAATATCTAATGAAACAGATTGAATTACAGATTTTCAGATTATTTGATACTGTTATCTGCAAATATTGAAATTAAGGGATAAAATAATGCTGATATTCCTGCAGCACCTAAAAGGGCTATTTCAAAATAATTCCTTAATCTCTTTTAAATATGATTTTTGTAGTTCTATGAAAAAGGTTTCCACCCTCTTTTGGCTGTTCTGAATTTTGTGTATCCTTGCCACTCAATGTTATCAGTGCTTCACATGGGTTCTATTGATATATAAAGAGAATCTGAGTGAACAATTAACACCAAAGCTTGGTCCTTATTCTACTTTTTTCATGAAAAAAAGTCAGCCAACATGCAATATGTCCTTTAGAAAAAAATAACTGCCCCTTAGATTCAGGAACTGGTTGCTCCATCCTTAGTTGCAATAGCTGCAACTGGTTGTCCAGATTCTGAGGCAATAATGAATTCTGAAATCATGACACTATCACCTCCAAACTTAACAGTTGGTTACGAAAGTCTTATTGTAGTTTTGTTTCTGCCAAACAACAATGTCCATGTAGCCTGAAAAGTTCTACTTCATCTGTAAGTACTGAAATAGAATATTTCTCCAGAAATCTGGAGGGTCACCAGGTACTTTTTGGCAAATGTCAGATGAGTATCCATGTTCTTCTTAAAAAGCAATAGCTTCTGCCTTGAATTCCATTCCCATGACCACCAGTTTTGCCCAGTGCTTTTCTGGTGATGGCCAGAGGTAATGACCACTAACTTTAGCCAAGGCAAGAGAAGACAACCTGACAATTCTTGAATGTTGTTCTGGAGTACTTTATGACTTCCTGGATGATTTTGTATTGTTCTCTTGGAATGATTTTGATAAGAAGGCCACTCTTGGGATCATTCAATATTGCTCCAAATCTTCTCCATTCTAAGGCTTTGTCTCTAATAGGAGTGGACCCTAAACTTTAGAAATGATCTAAACTTATATAGGTATTAATTACTTTTTTATGGAGATCTCCAAAAATTTGATATAATTTATTCAGTTTCTTTTTATATAACAGTAGGCCAAATAACGTTCTGCTAACATTCAGGGGAACCGATATGTAAAATTCAGGAAATCGAAATGTAAAAAAATGTAAAGAATCAAAAAGCAAAATACTTCATTATAAAATGGCATAGACATCCTATGCATATTTTTTTCCAATATGCTGGCTGTAGAATGAGAAAGGTGACGCAGTTTATTTTTATCTGTCATATTTAAAATAATGTATTGTCCTATCAAGATCTATCTGGCCACAGAACTAGAGCATGAGTTGTTAAGATAATCTGTTCTTAATATTCTTGTAACTCATGTTAGTCATAAGATCAGCATAACCACTGCTGAATAACCAACAAAAGAAAATGCAGTTTTATGTAATTGGCTGCTACAACAGTTAATGCAACACTTTATTAATTTGCCCAGAAAATATTAATTTGTATCAATTATTAAATGACAGATTTACTTAAGCCCATGTCCAACAATATTCACTTTTGTAATGGAATTTTCCATTGCTATTGTCTCTTTATGGACAGACATGGCTCTAAGCCTGCTCCAGAAGTATCTCTTTTACCACGGAATGGCACTCACTAGCTGAATGATACCATTCGATCCTACTTCAAGAGTGGAAAATTGAACAACAGAAAATATAACCTACGGGTGACATCCATTTTCATCTGTCCAATTCAAAATATTATCAAAGACACCAATCTTTATACTCTTATGACTTTCTCTTAGTAATTTATGATGATACATGCCATCTTCTATATTGGATAACGTTCCTAGATATCTAATAGGGAGTCTCAATATAGATTTTGACTTTGTTTTATGACAAAAATCTTTTCCTGCAGTAAACTCTTCAGCTAACATCCTGCTATCAACCTCCCCATCTGTTAGTTTTCCCTCCCGCTCTCTTATCCTTTTACGTCTAGGTTCTGTATTCACTACACAATGAAAATCGCAATATACAGTGGGGCAAAAAAGTATTTAGTCAGCCACCAATTGTGCAAGTTCTCCCACTTAAAAAGATGAGCGAGGCCGGTAATTTTCCTCATAGGATTACC